CGTTATGTCGAGCTGGGGTGTGTGGTCTTTGTGGATAAAGTTGTGGTTCTGTCTCATTTTGTTTTCTAGTTCAACTAATGTGGCTTGACTAGAGTTATTTTAATTCGTTTTTTTTATAATATGAAATTTATTACTAGTGTATAAAATTGAGAAAATTGTATCTTTAGTCTTTGAGTTATACCTAAGTTTCAGCTCAGTGTTCCTCAGTTATGATAGTATTTATTTTTTACACTTTAGTTATGATCGAAGTGGCGCATTTGGTCCCCAACGTTAGGTTTCTATCTCAACTTGACAGAAAAATTCAAAAATCCCTTAAAATTGGAGGGGTAAAATATGAAATTCACATCTTATATATTCTCCTTCTTATATTGAAATCACTCTCTTAACCTTATTTTTATTTCACTTCCCATCCTCCTATTTCAAGGTTCTTAAAAGTATTTTAATAATTCTCGTATGACTTGTTAGTAACATTGGTCTCGTATAAGGAACATGAGACTCAGTACAAACAAGGAATCAGAACACTTGATACCGTCTTCATGTGTGTGAAGCACACCATCCTAAAAGACGGTGATCAAGTGTTCCCTTATTTATACTGAGTCGCAAGTTACTTATATGAGACCGAAGTTCCTAACAAGTCAAACGAGGGTTAGTAAAATGCTTTTGGAGTTGAAAAACCTTAAAATAGGAGGCTGGGAACCGGGAAGTGAATAATGTTGCGAAAGCGGTTTGAATAAAAGAAGGAAAATAAGATGTGAATTTCTTACATCACGCCTCAAATTTTAAAGGATTTTTGAATTTTTCGTCAAGTTGAGATGGAAACCTAATGTCGGTACCAAACACGTCACTTCTCTCATAACTGAGGAGTAAAAAATATATATGATCATAATTGAAAGACTGAATCAAAACTTAGATATAACTCAAGAACTAGAAATACAATTTTTTTCTAAATATTTTTTAAACTTTAATAATATATTTAAAACATTAATCAACATTACTATTTAAATCTTTAATACGCAACCGTCCAACAGAATTCGTCGAGTTTAAGGCATCACCTCGTCACAGACTCAAAGGGCCGTACCCCAGTACCCCACCACACTTTGTCACAACTTTTGAGTCATCGCAACAAATCTTTTGATTCATCGCTGGGAAACGTATCTCTTGATTTATGTTGACAAATTTGGTTATCTTTTATCGTGATGTTTTTAATATTATTTTATCCAATTAGGTGTTGTTTGATGATTAAATATGATTGAATATTAAATACAAAATAGTCCAATAAAATCAATTCAAAATCAATTCATAAACCCTAATAAGTATATGTAATATTGTAATGATGTAAATAAATCAAATTACTTATGAGGTACTTGTCGATGTGAGTTTGAACTTTGAACTTGAGAAGTTCGAGTAACTGAATTTGAGCCTCTTAATATTTGACTTGAGCAACTCATGAGTCTAATTGAGTCTTTTAATTTTATATATTTTATAACTAATATAAATACAATATTACAAATTTAATTAAAAAGTTTATATATTTATGTTTAAATATTATAAAATAGCAATAATCAAGATGTAAAGTGTTTGTTATGATATTTGGATGTAAAATACTACTACTACTACTACTACTACTAATAATAATAATAATAATAATAATAATAATAATAATAATAATAATAATAATAATAATAATAATAATAATAATAATAAGAAGAGCAAATTACACTTTTGGTCCTATGACTATAGGGGGCGTGTTAATTTCGGTCCGTGACTTTTAAAACTAACAATTTAGTCCTTTAACTATGTTTTTTTTAGCAGATTTGGTCCTGCCGGCCAAATCACCGGGCAATTTTCGCCGGAAAAATGTAACCCATTTTAAAGTATTTATAATTGGGGGCAAAATGGTCCTTTCATGTTAGTTCTTCTTCTTCCTTGCTACGCCTTCCACCGTCGATTATCCAAGATTCCAGTGCATCCACGACGTAGCAACCTGCGGCGTTTTCCGGTCATCAATTCTCAGACACATTGGTAAGAACTTGAGGCCTTCATTAATGGGTAGGTTTCTCAACCTGTTCATAAACCCTACAAGGGTTTTCACAAAATCATCCTTGCTTTCAAGAATAACCTTTTCCAGGTAATTGGAAATGTTATCATTATTAGTATTTAGCCAACGGAGATTGTTCAGAGGATCGTCCGGCGCAGGTCTAACCCTCGGATAGGAACCTTCTTGGTTTGATCCTCCGAGTAGAACTCAATCTGGACATGGAAATCAACCATGAACTCCAGATACGGGGAATCGGTAGAGCAGTAATCCTCCTAAAAAGATTGTTTTTGTTGTGCTGTTATATATACACCAAAAGATTGTTTGGATATGCCAGTTCATTGCAGGTGCAACAAGGAAGAAGAAGAACTAACATGAAAGGACCATTTTGCCCCCAATTATAAATACTTTAAAATGGGTTACATTTTTCCGGCGAAAATTGGCCGGTGATTTGGCCGGCAGGACCAAATCTGCTAAAAAAAACATAGTTAAAGGACTAAATTGTTAGTTTTAAAAGTCACGGACTGAAATTAACACGCCCCCTATAGTCATAGGACCAAAAGTGTAATTTGCTCTAATAATAATAATAATAATAATAATAATAATAATAATAATAATAATGATAATAATAATAATAATACTCGGCATGAGGCCTCGGCCACGTTGCCCGATTTCCAGACCGGGCGCGGTCAAAGCGGGGAGGCAACTGCTCCCCCGGTTTAGGCGGGCAGTTAGGGATCCGTAGCATGTATAAATAATGGCTTCTCCTTTGTCCAATTAAGACATGTATGTTCTACCCTTTGTCCTAAACTACTACTTGTAATAGCATTACATTCTCCTTGTAATAACTTGACCATTACGATCTTAATACAATACACAGTCTCCGCGACCTTATGACATCGTTTTGCCTATATTCTTATCCCTTCGCTATTTACATTATTTATCGGGTTTAGTAATTCGGACTATCCCGGATTAATTAAATCCATCAAGTACTGAAAGGTGTAAATTGTAAGTACATAATTTGAATGTCATTTTGGATCAGAATTCACAATGCAATGAAAATCTTGGTTCATGGCATAATTTGCCGGGCCGGGTTGACCTTGAGTATAAATAGTAAGTCTTTATTTTATATCTGAATCAAACTCTTAACATTTTTTACTAGTGCTACACTCTTAATCCTTTAGCAAATAATTGTACTTGAGTTGTTTTTTTTTTTTTTTTTTGAAAATGTACTTGAGTTGTTTATTAAACACTTAAGTTAATAATATAATCAAACCATACATAATCTCGTATTATTGGATTTCATAAAATACTTGTGACATTTTACGTACTTATTCAAACTACGCTAGTACTGTAGGTTAACTAAATCTATCAAAATTAATTTTTAATGTAAACTTAATATTTTAATTATTCAGGATATAGATATGCCTTGAATAACAAAACCTAAACTTATATTACGATTAATAGCGACGTTTTTCTAAAAGTTAAGTTTATAATATTTATTTTAAATTTTGGACCATGTTTGAATTGGACGATGTTTATAATAATCGTCTCAGATATGACTGTGACGACGGTGCAAGTTCATATATTGAAATAAATAGTTAAATAATACTCCGTATACATAATAATAATTTCTTTTGCAAGTTCATACTTCATAGATTGAAAATAATTTATTTTTTTTTGAAAACAGATTGAAAATAAATGATTAAATAATACTCGGTATGCATAATAATAATAATAATAATAATAATAATAATAATAATAATAATAATAATAATAATAATAATAATAATAATAATAATAATAATAATATAATAATAATAATAATAATAATAATAATAATAATAATTTAAACATAAAAGATGAATAGAAGTTTGATGAGTGGACCATTCTCGGTGAACACGTTTCCCGGGCATAATTTGCCTATATTTTTGTATAGTACCTAAAATTTAAATTATATAAAAACATATGAATACCAAATAATTTAAAATAAGATTCACTATTTTTAGTAATTATATATATATATATATATATATATATATATATATATATATTCCTAAATTCATGGTAATCAATAATCATATCAGTGTATTTATAAATAAATAATTATTATTTATTAAATGAATAAAATATTAAAAATTAAATAAGTTAACAGAATCACATTGTTATCGCAAAAAATAATAAATTCATATTAATATAAATTTATTAAAATAAAACTTACAAATTGTGGTCGAACGGCATAATTGTGGCTCTCCCTGATTAGAGGTCACAGGTTCGAACCTTAGTAACAAAATATGAAACATAATTAATGGGATAAAATGGTTTAAATTGGAAACAATTTCTATTAACTAGATCAATTTTACTTTTTTTTTTTTCTAAAGTATTTTGAATACGATGACGTATGATAAAAACTTTCAGACTACATTAATTAGATGATTCATAAAATGTAAATTATCTTTTAAAATATTTTTTCATAACTGAATCCCAAAATAATTTCATATAAATTAATTAAGCTCACAAAATAACATAAAAATATAAGTAGTAAGATTTCAAATTTTGGTATAAATCATATATCAATGTACATTATAAATATCTCTATATAATTATAAAAAGACAAATTACAAAAAATTACATTTTTTTTTTTTGAATGCTACTAGCTCTATTACATTGTAGTATCTGTTCATATACTTTCTCAACCTACTGAAACACAAAGAGCTAATAACGCCTCCACTGAGGCTCGAACTCACAATCTTCCAAGTGGAAGTCCAACCCGGGTACCATTGGACCAAATTACAAAAAATTACATAATTACAAATCAAAAAATACAACTAACATGAGACAACCTGCTCAAATTGGTTAAATGATTAACTTAATAATCATAAAGTTATAAATTTGACTCTACAAAGAGTGATTGGTTTCACCGGGGTGGACCCCTTCAAGCATGCACCCTGAATTCCTACATCTCTAGCGCAGGTTAGCAAATACCATTCTTTACGATGGTTATAAATATTGTCACAAATAAATTTGGGAAACAAAATCCAGAGAAAGCTTGCTCTCATGAAGAGTGATAATTAGACGGTCATTTTCTTTCCATTTCTTTTTCTCTGATTATATATTGCTTTCATTTATGAATGCAAGAAGTTGGAGATGAATGCTGATTTAATTTGGGTGTTTTTATTTGTATTTACAGTGAGATTATTCTGGAGTTTCAGCGACGATTGTTCCAGATGACAGGAAGCAAGAGTCAAAATAGTGACGAGTAGACATGTATATGGAGTTGGAGTATTTGTGACGGTTTCATGACCGTCCGGGCAACGGCGGCGAACGTCTGATGCAATATGATCGGAGTTTAACGGCGCCGTTGCCGTCTTATCAAAGGCAAGTCATGTTGTGGCTACGAGTTTGACAACTCAGGAACATGGATGAAGATTCCTGAGTTTCTTCGTTTTAAGTTGTCATTCTCAATCGTATTATATGAATCTGTTCAAAGCTTGCATTTCATTGATATTTAGTATACTCTCATTTTATACTCCCAACTTTTATTCCTTCTTATGTGTTCTTGATGTAGACACTTTTCTGTGGATTCATAATGAAAATTAACTAATACTTGATTGCTACCTCAGGAAGTATAAGCAAGGGAGCAGAATTTGGGAGTTTGTATATGTAAACTGTAACAGGGCGTTTGGTTGGAGGGATTTTAAATTCCCTTCCCACTTAATTCCCACCTAATTTCAAAGGCCATTAAATTCCGTAGTTTGGTTGGAGGGAATTGTAATTCCCCCATTTTCATGGAATTAAAATCCCATGTCCCCCTGTTATTTTAATTCCTGGGAAAAAAAGATAGTGATGAGTCAAAATTACCCCTTCCTTTTTTAACCTAAAATTAATGTCTAACAACAATAATGGACATTTTTGACTTTATACTACTTATTCCCTTTCAATTCCCATGTATACCAAACATTGGAATTAAAATTCTCAGTAATTCTATTCCTGTCAACCAAACACTGGAATTTAAATTCCCACTTTATTTCCAGTAATTCAATTCCCATGGAATTACAATTCCTTTCCCACATAATTCCCCCACTCCAACCAAACGCCCTGTAAGATTTTCCCTAATAATATATATGGTATATTATATATTAGGGCCTTAATTAAGCTGAACAATAATATACGAGAGATCTGACCTCGCATCAGAGCGGAAGCGTAGCCATGTTGATCTCCAGCCACAATTGACGTTCCTGTTGTGTTGCTTCTTAGGGGTATACCGTTAGCCATTATTTGTCACATACCTGACTCAAAACCCTAGATGGTGTATTGGAGTCTACTAAGCGGTATGAGTAGCGTAACTAAATGTGTTATATCATCAATCATCCTGTATCCCATCAATCCAGATTATATTAGACACAGAGTCTGATTGACTAACAACTTTTAATTATTCAGTCCAAACAAACTAGTTAGTAAGGAAGAGCAAATAAAAATCAGGACATAAAATAAGGGATTTGATTGGGAAAAGATGGTGAGTGTGAACCATCAAGATGGCAGTGCATTATTGTGATGTGCTTCGTGCACGGCAGTGCTACGCCATGCATAACTGGGTATGGACTAGTGCACTATAAAAATCTGCAAACGTTATGCTACTGGGAATGAAAAAAATAAGGAATTTTATTTCACTTAATAATAATTAATAAACCCTAATAAATATGAAACGAAAATACTTAAACGCCCTTCTACAACAAAACCTAATAAATTTAGGAAAAAAAAAAAAAAAAAAAAAAAAAAGAGCAAACTAACGTAGGACTACAAAAATTAATCAGGACCATTCAATCAACTAAATAAAACGCTCGAATTGGTACACAAGTTCACAATTTAAAAGAGATTCTCATATAAACCTAATATATAATTAATTATTGAGAAAATCGTATTTTTGGTCCCTCAATTGTTTCCAAATATACAATGTAGTCTCTCATTGTCAATTTTTTCAAATTAGTCCCTCAATTGTTTCAACCATAGTCAATATAACCCTCCGGTCAGATTTCTCACTAACTAGTGTTAAAATCATGGACAAATTTATAATTTCACAACCCATTCAGATTTAATTACCCCCAAACTCATCCTTCCTCCTCCCTCCGAATTGACATACGCGAAGTCTGAACCAATACTTCCGGCACATATTTAAGGCAGTCTCCCAGCCGGAAAGCTCATGTGTCACCGTGAAGCATGGTGAGCCACATAATGAAACAAGTGAGAACTTCCATCCGCCGGAGCCGGATTTAGTGGCCGCCGGAGCAAACATTAGCAGAGAACGAATTAAAATACATCAGCAGAGAACGGATTAAAATCAGTTGTAGCCATCAGTCTTCTTGTTCGATGGAGACGCCACCGTGTCGTCACCGTCGAGACGACCATGGAGGTGGGCGATCCTCCTCAAGAACCCCCCTGAAACGGCTGAACAAATTGTGCAAGATTCATCGCTGATTTGCATCGCGCGGGTTTCACAGCTCCAACGCTGGTGATTACGCGATTGGGGACTGGCGATGGTCTCCCTGAGATGCGGCAGTGTCTTGAACAGAATAATTCAACCCAGGTTTCCTCGTTGCAATTGGAACCCACGGCGGTGGGCACTCAGTCAGCAATGCCCATTTCGCTCCTTGAGGTGCGACAATCCAATCCGGCTTCTACCTGGTCCAATCGCGACCTCAATCGAACAGGTATGGTCTCTAACCCTATTTCTATTTCTTTGCAGTCGAGGCAAATTTCGCTGCTTGGTCCGTCCGATTATTGCTCAGAAAGTCGGGATGGACTGGGTTCGCTACCTCGTTCTTCCCTTGCGTCTCAGCTTGATAATCGGCCTCCAGCGGACGGAAATCAATCGAAGACGACGGTGGCGATAGCTCCTTTGCCGGGGACTGGCCCTCTCTCGGTGATGGCTGGGGGTAAATCTGAATGGGTTGCGAAATTACAAATTTGTCCATGATTTTAACACTAGTTAGTGAGAAATCTTACCAGAGGGTTAAATTGACTACGGTTGAAACAATTGAGGGATCAATTTGGAAAAATTGACAATAAGAGACTATATTGCATATCTAGGAACAATTGAGAGATCAAAAGTGCAATTTTCCCTTAATTATTTTGTATTTTTTCCTAATCTGAGCGAGAAAAGGCTTCTATTCTATTCTATGTATATATATATAGACCTATGAATCTATGATCACTCTTCCGATCCTTCTATTATCCATATTAATATTAATAATTAATTCTTCCAACAACGTAAACTCTTGATCTCTCCCTATATATTCTCGATCAATCAGGTAAAACCTAGCTTGGTTCCTTAATTTCGATCTATGGATTCTTTAATCCATCCTCAATTTCCACCGGTAACCTCAGACGACGACTCATCCGCGGAGGTGGCGGCGATTCTCCCCACTCCTCCTCCTCCTAATCACCCTATCACCATCTCCGAACTGAAGTGGACATTGCCAAGCCTGCCAATCTCCTCCTCAACTCTCAAGACCGGGTAAAGATATCTGATTTCGGAACTTCGCAAATCCTCGACTACAAATCTATGGAAACATGCCAACTCTGTCCCGGAACGGATGAATACATGAGCCCTGAGAGGATCCACGACCTCCTCCTCAAACAGGGACTGCCCGAAGCGCATGCATATGCTGGGGATATATGGAGCCTTGGGTTGACCACCTGGGAGTTATACGTGGGGAAGTATCCCGCTTAAAAGGAAATTTGGCCGCCGTCAAGAGAGCCATTTCCAAGTGGGAGGAGTCATCCATGACGCCGGTGATGCTTATGCCGGACACCACTTCACCGGAGTTAAGAAATTTCATTGCCCGTTGCATGGAGATACATCCTGAGAATCGGTTGACGGCCGGGGATTTGTTAGGCCACCCCTTCATTTCGCTGTGTTCTCTGATCTGAAATCTTTAATGTTATCTTGGCATTGGCGCACTAGTTGCTACCTTCAATTCTTCTTCATACTTCACTGCCCAAGAATATAAAATCCGCGATGATTATTGATTACACTTAATACTGTACTTATAAACTATTCTTACCTTTTATTTTATGCAATATAATTAGTGTAGCCAACTAAATACCTGTGCAATTACAATATTAAGGAGTTGGGCAAATTATGTCATGCATGCTGCACACGGTTGCAAAAAACGGCGTCGTTTTACTTTTTTTTTTTTAAAAAAAAAATCATTTTTGTTGCCGTTAGTTACGTAAACATATGTTAATAATTTTATAATTTCAGATTCTGAATGTATAGTTATAAAGTTATGGATGTGTAGTTATGCCATTCTGAATGTATAGTTATGAAGTTATGGATGTGTAGTTATGCAATTCTGAATGTATAGTTATGAAGTTATGGATGTATAGTTCAAATTATGCACAACATAACGCCGTTAACGACAATCGAAACTATTTTTTTTTTTTTAAGTTGGACGTCAAAACAACGTCGTTTTTGCAACCGTGTGCACCATGCATGGTGCACACGATTGCACAGCATAACGCTCCAAGGAGTTGCTAGGTGGTGTAGAGTTGCGGGGGAGAATGAATAAAAATATAGAAGAAGAGAAAATGTCAAAAAAGGGTTTTAATTGGGATGTCATTTATTTAAAATCTACATCTACAATTCTAATAAGAGCCAATAATGTTAGGCCCAAAAAAATGTCGGTTGTATTTTTTCTTAAAATGAATGGTTCATATTATTTTAAGAGTTAATTACCAAAATGGTCCCTTGACTATAGTGAAATTACCAATTTGGTCCTTGATTATTTTTTTTAACCAATTAAGTCCCTCAACTTTAAAATTTTTAACCAATTTGGTCCTCCGTTAGTTTGACCGTTAGTCAACTGTTAACTTGGGACCAAATTGGTAATTTTGCTATAGTCAAGGGACCATTTTGGTAATTAACTTTAGGGGTGGGCAATTCGATTTAGTTTTCACGAATCAAACCGTACCGAACCGGAGTAGTTTGGTTCGGTAATATACCGAACAACCGAACGGTATTGGATTCTTGTATACTGAATGGTTCGATAAAAAACCGATCCGAATTTTTCGGTAAAAAATTGAACTGAACCGAATACCGTTTGATTTTTTTTTTTAAAAATATAATAATAATAATAATAATAATAATAATAATAATAATAATAATAATAATAAATAAATAAATAAATAAATAAATAAATAAATAAATAAAAAGTAAATCCAAGTCCCTTGCTGCTTGCTCTGCCGTTCAGCTCATATTCTCACGGGTATCTCTCGTAAATGTTTTATTTGATTTTTTTATGGTTTATTATCAAAAGTTCTATATTATGTGTTATGGTGTTTACATAGTCCATATCCAAAGTCTAATATATAACAAAATAGCAATCCAAAGTTCAAACAGTATTCGGTTCGTTTCGGTTTTTACCGAACAATTCAGTTCGGTTCGAGTTTTTACCGAACCATTCGGTATACAAGAATCTATTACCGGTTGGTTGTTTGGTATATTACTGAATCTAACTAGTTTGGTAC